ACCTAAGGCATTTGACTGCTAACCAGAAGGCTGGTGGTTCAAACCCACGAGCCACTCCTCGGAAGGAAGATTGGGCAATCTACTTCTGTAGTGATACCACTTTGGAAACCCAAGGAGAGGTCGCTGAGTCAGATCCGACTCAACAGCAGTGAGGTTTTTTGGTTTTTTCCGCCCCCTCCCCCCAGTTAATTAGCTAGATAGCTGTCTTCCAAATTTCTTGGCATAGATGAATGGGCACTTCCAGCATTGCATTCATTTGTTGAAGCATCTCAACTGGTATTCCATCAATTCCTGCAGCCTTGTTTTTCCATGAGTGTTTTCAATACAGCTCAGACTTCTTCCTTCAATAGCATTGGATCTTGATCATATGATACCCTCTGAAATGGCTGAACATTGACCTGTTCCTTTTGATACAGTGACTCTGCGTATTTCTTCCATCTTCTTTTGATGCTCCCTGTACCTTTCAATATTTTCCCCATAGAATCCTTCAGTATTGCAACTCAAGTCTTCAATTTTTTTCTTCAGTTCTTTTAGCTTGAGAAATGCCAAGTGTTCCCTTCCTTTTTGGTTTTCTAATTCCAGGTCTTTGCACATTTCATTGTAATATTTTACTTTGTCTTCTTGATGCAGCCATTGAAATCTTCTGTTCAGCTCTTTCACTTCATCATCTCTTCCATTTGCTTTAGCTACTCTATGTTCACCAGCAGTTTCAGAGTCTCTTCTGACATCCATTTCAGTCTTTTTTTCTTATAACCTTTTGCTTTCTATGTATAATAGAATAGTGACTGTTTATTGAGCACTTAGTATGCAGCAGACACTGTGACAAATGCTTTATAGGCATTATTTCATCTATCTTCACCAATAAAAAAACAAAACAAAACTCAACCGTCGAGTTGGATCCGACTCATAGCAACCCCTCCTTGGGTTTCTAAGGCGGTATCTCTACGGAAGTAGATTGCCCAATCTTCCTTCTGAGGAGTGGCTCATGGGTTTGATTCACCAGCCTTCTGGTTAGCAGTCAAATGCCTTAAGCCACAGGTGCAATTATTATTCTCACTTGAAAAACAAAGAATTGAGGCTCAGAAAGGTCAGGTAATGAGTCCAAAGTCACACAGCAGTGGAGTTGGGCCTCAAAGCTCACCCTAAGGCCTGGACTGCTCACCCCATGTTACTCTGCCCCTTCAGGAGAGATCCAGAGCATCGTCACATATGACTTGGCCCTCGACTCTGGCCGCTTAAATCCCCGGGCCATCTTTGACAAGACAAAGAATAGTACACTTAGACAAGCACAGACCTTGACTCTGGTAGAGAAATGTGAGACCCTGAAGCTACAGTTACCGGTGAGCAAGTGGGTGATTGGACCCCTGGGTCCTCAAGCATGGGATGGATTTGGGAATGTGAGGAGAGCAGACCCCTAGATCTCCATTGTCTTTCAGGATTGTGTAGAGGACCCAGTGACCCCCATCACCCTGCGCCTCAACTTATCTCTTATGGGGGAGCCATTACCCTCTTTCGGGAATCTCCGGCCAGTGTTGGCGGTGGATGCTCAGAGACTTTTCACAGGCATGGTGAGTCCTGGAGCTGGGGCCCTGTGGGGGCATGGAAAAGACCAGAGGGAAGATTGTTGAAATTCATTTCTTTTTCATATAATTTTATTTTATTATTTCATCATATTGTTTTATTTCCCATCATTTCATTGTTTTATTTTCTCTCATAGTATTTTACCTATTTTTACAGTTCCCCTTTGAGAAGAATTGCGGCAATGACAGCATCTGCCAGGACGATCTCAGCATCACCTTCAATTTTATAAAGTGGGTTTCTTTTCCTTATTGCCTCCTCTAAACCTATACCATGCCCAGACCCTCTGTTCTCCTGGCCTTTGAAAGAGCCTGGCACAGAGCAGCTCCTGTGTGCCACAGGTCCCTTGAGGGTGTCCCATCTGCTGTCTTCTCTCTTTGAGTCTCCATGTCATCTTTCCACCAGAGTAGACTTGTCATGGCACCTCCTGGTCTCTCTTCTTCCTTCTGCAGCCTGGACACGTTGGTGGTGGGTGGTCACCAGGA